CCTGGGAGGGAGGGTCGGCTCCTGCGGCCCCCGGCCGGGCAAGGAGCCCGCCCTGCAGCCCAGGGGCTCCCTCAAGAAGCCCAGCGCCAAGCCCCTCCGGAACGTCCCCAGACAGAAACCCGAGGAAAATAAGATCTGCCGCTCCAATTCCCAGGACCCCCAGAGCCCGGGAGAAGAGCCCAAGCCGCCTCCACCAACCCCCAGCGTCCCCCGTGTTCCGTCCCAGGTCCCTGGCTTTGCCCGAAACACAGTAGCCTCCTCATCTCGGTTCATGAAAACAGATTCTCTCCCGGTGACCAAGGCCCCCGGCCTCACGCGGACCGTCTCCCACCGGCAGCTGAGGATGAAGGGTGGCTCTGAGGATGCGGTCCCCAAGGACAGCGGCACCCTGCGGCGGGCCAACAGCTCCCGGGCCCCCAAAAAGTGTCCTGAGTCAGCAGAAGGGCCCGGTGCCAACATGGAGGCCTCTCTGAAGGGCAGGGGGACGGGGGAAAGGACCTCCTTCAGGCAGAAAGACTCCGGCCGGACCACACTGGGGAAAATCCTCCACCCCTTATGGAAGTGATGGGTGCCTGTCCCCCCTCACCTCCTGGCACATCATGCGGACTGACTGCTGTGAAAGGCCAACACCGAGTGACTTCTACATCAAGGGAATCACCGGTGCCACCTGCTAGTGCTCCTGCCGCTGAAGGTACACTCCGGGAGGCCTGTGGGCTGCCACCTGCAGCGCCGACTCCTGCCGTCGCGTCCCCATGCACCCCTGTCCTGGACCGGCACCTCCCGCACACACACCCCCAAAGTGTGCACAGGCACCTCTACGCCAAAACAGACTCAGGCGTGTGAGATGGCATTCGTACGCAACAAGTAAACAAGGAACTCTGGCCAGTTTTTAGAAATCAGAGGCTTATTTTTCAATATAAAAATTCAGTGTTTTGGTTCCTTTTGCAGAGTGAATGGGAAAAAAAAAAAAAAACAAAAAAAAAAAAACAAGAAAAACTGCTTTCCTGTGTCCTTGGCCTCGGGGTTCCACCTGCCCGCACGCCGACCATTGCTGGCACCTCGGCTTCGCCATGAGCCCTGGGCGTCCTGTGGTTGCACCGGGTCCTTGAGACTCGTCCTGGCTCACCTCTCCCTGCCTGACTGGGGATGAGAGTTTGCGTGTGAGCAGGAGGGAAAGTGAGACTGGTGGGTGGAGACCGGTGCTCCTGTGGCTCCGTGTGGGCACTGTGGGCAGCGGGATGTGCATTTTGGGGGCCTGTGGCCACCGGGAGAGCCTCCCTGCGGACAGTGGCAGGCAGCCCCTGGGAGGATGCTGGATCTTTCAGGATGTGGAAGTGCCATATTTTCATGGAACGTCATGGGGCTGTTCGGCAGATCACACCTCTCCCAGCCCATGTTTTCGCATTTGTGTTTCTGTTGTACAACTGAGTGACGGCTGCTACGACTTGTGTTCGCTCTGGTTACAGGGGAGGAAAAACCTTTCTGTCTCCCAGTCTTTCTTCTCCGTCTTCTCTTTGCTCCCAGCCTTCTTTGCTCATGTGACCTGAAGCCTGGAGTCTCTCTCTCTCTCTCTCTCTCTCTCTCTCTCTCTCTCTCCCTCCCTCCCTCTCTCCCTCTCTCTCTCTCAACAGTAATACTTACAAATGTTGACGTCTATTCTTTGGTACAGTGGTTTTGAAATCCTGAGAAAAACCAAATCAAGTTTTTGAAATCAGACTAAAAAGAAAATAACTGTTAGAAGAATTTGTATCATCAGGGACAATTTGGAATAAAGGCCTTCATCCAGAAGAAAGGTGTGGGTGGGGGACACTTCTACCCGGTTCCCACTTCACTGTTTCCCTCTGAGACTACTTGGGAAATGGGGAAATTCTTGAAACTTTTTTGTTTTTTAAAAATTGTGCCCCCCTCCCCCCATTTTTGGTCACTTATTAGTGAAACCTCATTTCAGATCCAACAGTGGTAGACGGATTTAGGCAAATAAGATGTGTTACAATCTCCCTCCCGTACAGTTTTGCCTCCCAACCAAATGAATTGGAAATGCGACTTCGATGAGTCCGCTAAATTGAAAGGGTAAACTTTATGGTAGAAGAAGTTAGGCACCTGACCACAAAACCTCTTACAGAAATAGCCCCGAGTAGGTATTTCCGGGGCTCTGCAGAGATGGTTAATGGGAATCCTGAGTTGTTTCTCACCATCTCAAAAAGCCGGAGAAATCGTATATTTAACCATGCAGACCACAGCGGTCAAAACATAGGGCCCATGGGTGGATGGGACATGGATGAAAGAGGTCAAAAGTTTGTGGATTGGTGGATAGAGAGGGGGTCAGGACTCCTGGTGAGACTCTAGGGACCAGGGATCGAGTCCCTCCCTGTTCCATCGCTGATATAGCACCTTGGGCAAGCCACTCCCTGTCCCGAAGCCTCTGCTTCCCAGTCTGCAGTGGTGGGGGCATGGCCTCCATGATGGTCTCCAGGGGTCCTTCTAGCTCCAGCAGTCGGAGTCATAAACACCCAGGGACCCCGCTCTGCCCTGGGATCAGCTTCTCAGAACCAACCCCCCGCATCTCTTCAGCAGAGGCCTCCCACAAAGGCCTGCTCAAAACACCTCCAGAATGAGTCGTCGCTTTGAAACCCGCTCAGCCACTTTCCTGAGAAGTGGAGTTTTATTTTACTTAGCCCTGTGGACAACTTCTGTGTTTGCATCTGTACGCGCAGGTGATCATTCTATTACCTTTTATCGGTAGTAAGCTTGGACAAAATAATTTAAGTATATAATGGAGAAGTGTAAATAAGTTTCTATATGAAATTGTTTAAGATGAACAATTAAGATGTATTTAAAGGTCCATTTATATGTTCTTTTACGTAACACATACTTAAATAAAGTTCCTGTTTATGGGATTGTGTTCTTTCCTTGGTGTGTGTGTGTATGCGTGTATGTGTGAGAGAGAAACCCTGGCAGGAGAGGAAGGCAGGATGCAGGAGGTAGGAGAGGGTTGGAATATAAGTCTTGTTCTCAAAAGGTTCAAGAGCCAAAATTAGGCTGGTGGTGTGTCTCCTTAGTAGCAGAGAACCTGCGTTTAACCAAGGGCCTTGCGCCAGGCCTGTGGGAAAGCAGGCAAGCAGCTGACAGGCAGGCCATCGGTGGAATGTTCAGCACCTCGTACATGCTCACATTATTCCACGTTTGGGGCCAAGTTTTGTGTAATCTCCATGGGGCCGGCAAGTCTGGATCTGCTGCTGTGTGTCCTCGTGTGCTTTGGCTCAGGACACTATTGGGAAATCACAGCTCACTTCTGAGCGGCCTCAGGAATGAGCAGAGAGGGAGGAAGGTGAGGTTTTATTTCAAATGCAGGGTTGGTGCTTCTTTGAAAGGAAAGGTGGGGAGTGGGGGCGTCTGTGAAACCCACCTCATACCTTGGGGTTTCCTATCAGGTATTAGGCCTGGCTGCTCTCTTGCGTTTTCTGGAGATGGTTACAGGAATAGCCTTGGGTCAGGCACCCGTGGGTGAGAGCGTAGTGACGTCCTTGTGAGTTGCTGCTTGCCCGGTGACATTTAGGACCTGGCTTTGCCTGTTAGAGCCTTTTCTTTTCCCAGTGGGTCTCAAGCAGTTTTCTTTTTATCCTCTTATTTTAGGGCTTTCCTTACGGGAGGACCCTGTGGTGCAGTCCTCTTCCTGAAGATAGGTGTTGAGTTCAAAGGGACCACAGTTTCCTAATGGTTCGCTCCAGATTCTGAATGTTTATGTATTATAGTGAGAATAGTTTGGTAGAGCTCTCTTTTTAAACAAACAAACAAATTATATATATATAATTTCAGAGAGGAAGGGGGATGAGAGAGAATCATTGAACGGCTGCCTCCTGCACGTCCCATACCTGGGATCGAGCCCACAACCCGGGCATGGGCCCCGACCAGGAATTGAACCGTGACCTCCTGGGTCATAGGTCAATGCTCAACCACTGAGTTACACCAGCCGGGCAGTTTGGGAGGACTCTTGAGTCAACCTTCGCAGGTGTGCAAATGGCCAACTTTTACCTCTAAGGGTGCGGAATCCCCCCATCTCCTCCCATCTGGCAATGGTGACATTTTGCAATTTCACAGAATTTTCTACTGAAGCTTAAACTTTATTCTTAATTCTTTATGATACTCTTGCCTTGTGCTCCAGTCTTGTAAAAAAAAAAAAGAGAGATTTTTTTGTTGTTGTTGATATGTGTCTCCAAACACACATAAACGTCCAATTTGAGTAAGGGACATTGTGTTTGGTTCATAAGTGCTTTTAAACAGTTATTTGTGTCCTGAGCACAAACAGAATGGGAGACTGTGGGTCTGCAAGTCATGCTACTCAGCATCGATGGGCTGAGCTGGGACTGACTCTGTGACAGGGTTGAAAACAACCCAGCACAACCTCTCCCTAGGGCATTTTTCACCTGCAAACATCTTCCAGTAAAATGTCCTCTGGGCTCACTGGATCCCTCAGTGAAGATAAAAGCAACATTCCTGCCATTGAAGATAATGGCTTTTCTGTCTTACAGGCCAGAGCTCTGCAATAAGGCATTTGGCTTCCTGGTTGGTAGGTAGGAAAATTGGACCCCACTGCAAGAGCGATCAAGATGCCAAGCAGCCCTCACAATCTACTCATTCATGGGCCCTTGACTCAGAACCCACCAAGAGCCTGGCACAACCTGCCCGTTGGGCTGTGGTACGAAGATGGCTGAGCCTCTTAATGAGGATGCTGCTTGAGGTCCCTATGGGTGCATTCATGCCCAACCTTTGGAATGTGGGCCTGGGCTTTGCCCCAAACTCCTCAGAGATATTCAAGGGCTGAGTCACCCAAGCACTCCCTAACTCACAGGCAGATGATGTTCCCCAAGTTTGCTTGCAATCAGATATGAGTTCAGAGTCACTTTCCCAGAGCAACGATGTCATGCATTACAGGTAGGTTTCCACAACAGCCTATTGTCCGCCCGTGGTGGACTGTGGCACCGGCATTTCCGTAGAGAAATGTCTCCAGATCATCAGGGAGAAGGATAGCTGGGAGCTGGGTCAGTAGACCACTTTAGTAGGTGCTGGATGTTTGCTGCCCGTGGGGAGCTCTCTGAGGTGCCCCTGACTTCTGACAGCATGGGAGCATCTAATAGCCCCCCCTTTCTCACTTGTAGCCGAGTCCCTAAGGAAAACACCAAGGTGCTGGGAACATTCCTCCCCTCCTTCAGGACATCAGGTAGAGGCTACAGCACTGCAGCCTGAGCACCCATAATGTCCACTGTCCACTGCTTGATAAGAAAAGGCCTCACCACTCTGGAGGTCAGACATAGGGGCTCCCATCTCCTAGGCCACCTCCAGTGAATGCAGGTCATGTTTCTACCAGAGACTACCTGCCTCCTGTGCTTCCTCACAGAGCGCACACCCACCGGCCCAGCAGAAAGGCGTACACCCTCTGCTTTCAACTGTCCAGGAGGGAGGCGGGACTAAGCACACTCCCTTTGCCTCCAGATCATCAGGGAGAAGGACAGCTAGGAGCTGGGTCAGTAGACCACTTTAGTGGGAGCTGGATGTTTGCTGCCCGTGGGGAGCTCTCTGACTTCTGACAGCATGGGAGCGTCTAATAGCCCCCCTTTCCCACAGGGGGATGTACTCCAGTGTGTAACAGCCCCATTCCAGACCTAAACCAAGTCAGAATCTGGTAGGGCCCCCAAATTTGCATTTTAGGTAACTCCCCCGTGGTTCCTTTTTCCCCCTGCTGTTGAGAACCTGTGGGCTGGAGCAAGGCCAGAGGCTGGGGTTCTTCTGTGGGGCTATGAGCTGTCCTCAGGCCCGAGCCCGTCAGGCCACACAGTGTCTCCTGGACAACAAGGCAGAGACTGGCTCTGACCTCAGCGCCGGGTCAGGGGGAGAGCTGCCTCCTTGGCACCCGAGCAGGTGGTCTAACGTCATCCTAAAGCAGGAGTGCCTCCGGTTTA